TAGCGCTGACTACCTCATTTTTGGCTTTCCTGTTTTTTTCCTATATCTTTCAGCGACTATGCACTTATTATGTCTGTTTTACTTCCTCGGCTTATATGCTCGTCCATCGCAATCCCCTTTCCTACATCTTTATCGATCTATACGGCAAGGGTTTTTAGGGAAAGTTGAGAGAGTTATGTGACGATTTCTTCAAGAGAAACGTCCTTGGAGAGGTTAGTACGGTACAAAGTACCCTCCATTTACTTTTCGTGATGAGAAGCGTATGGCAGTGTGGCAAACCTCTCTTTTGAAACTCTATCACATATATTCACTAGTGCAGAAATACCTGACGGCAAAGAATATGAACAAGCGTTTGCCGCTGTTACTACCTACATGATACATAGGCAATGTGGCAGAAAGAATCCACATTCTCCATGCATGCGCGATAGAGAATGCCCCAAACGTTTTCCTAAAAGATTGTGCGATGCGACGACTATGGAAATGGATGGATATCCGATGTATAGAAGACGAAACAGGAAACTGGCATCAACGGAAGTCTACAACGATGAATGGGTTGTTCAAACAAATCTGTGTTTAGTCATCAAGTATAACTGCCACCATATCAATCTCGAGATATGCGGTACGATTTCGGCCGTGAAATATCTGTACAAGTACATTTATAAATGTCCTGACCGTGCACGAATCGTTCTTGAGACTGAAAATGGGATGTTGTCGATGAAATCAAGCAACATTTGAACACGCGATATGTGTGTTTACCGCAAGCTGTACACAGTGTGTTCGGCTTCCCCATGCAGGATTAGTCTCACATTGTGTGCAGGTTAGATGTTCATCTGCCAAAAACCAGACAGTTCGCTTCGTTGCTAGACACAGCAATTTCTAAACCGTGCATTATGTACGTTCACTACGCATCTTTGACCTAAATCTCGAAACTGGGGAGCATTCAAACATGGGTATTGATGCTCGCGAGCTCTATTACTATCAAATCCCTGAACACCACATTCACTCTCCAGCAAGGCTGGAGACCCAGAAAGCGAGGTGCGGGAGAAATTGGAAGAATGTATACTGTTTCACCAAGAGATTTTGAACGCTACTGCCTGAGAATTCTCCTTTTGAATACTAAAGGAAAAACGTCTTTTGAAGATATTCGAACAGTGGATGGACGAGTTTACGGGAAGTTCTCAGATGCAGCTAAAGCTTCTTGCTTTTTGGATGATGACTCAAATTATAGAGATAGCATAAAAGAAGCAGTGCAATTTTAGACTCCATCAACATTACGCTTTCTTCGCATGGGGAATGCTCAAGTGTTATAAATTTTGTGTGACAATGAGCGAAGACCATATTAACCGAGGAGTTGGAGAAAACGAGGCTGTCGCTGTGGCGTACTTTGACATAGCAGAACGAAGGCAAAATGTTACAGCGTATTGTTTCATCTCTGAGCAATGTACGACCGGAAGTTTCTATTTTGCCTACAGATTACGATCTCAACCGGATTGAAGGCTCACGGCTGTACGGTTGAACATTGGCCAGAAAAATGCTGTTGACGATATTCTCACAGCTGTGAATGGTGACAAACATCGATGTTTTATTGATGGAGCCGGAGGCACGGGGAAGACATATCTGTACACAGCGCTATATAACTTTGCTGCAGGACAACGACGCCAGGTACTTTGCGTAGCATGGACAGGCATTGCAGCCAATCTTGTACCTGGAGGTCGCACAGTGAACTCTGCTTTTAAGCTGCATATGGCTGATGAGAATCGTACATCAATTTTGAAACGACAACAAAAAGAAGCAGGTCTGTTAATGAGCACAGATATCATAATATGGGATGAGATATCTATGACTCCAAAGTGTGCCCTTGAAGCTGTTGATGCACTTCTTCGCGATATCATGCAGAATGACAAACCTTTTGGGGGAAAGCTTTTGATCGTTGGTGACGACTTCCGTCAAGTAGTGCCCACAGTAGAACACGGTCAAGAGATTATGTTGTTGAATCGTGCGTTAACCGCTCCGTTCTGTGGCCGCTTTTCAAGGTATATCATTTACAAGCCAACATGAGACCGCGTGATGCAGAAGACGATTGGCATGAGTTTCTCCTGGACATAGGCAGTGGACAGACTAATAATGATGAAGGACGAGTGGAGTTACAAAACAATATCTTAAGTGAGGGAAACATAGTTACAGATGATCCAAACGAAATGAAAGGATTTTATGAAAGAGCAATACTTGCTCCTAAGAACATCAATGTGAACAAACTTAATAATGAAGCGATGCAACGTTTACGCATAAGTAGTGATCAAGAGGAACGAACTTACAGAAGCACAGATGAGGCGAAACGTCAAGAAGGAAGTTTGGGAGATTTATATCCTATGGAATAACTCAATACACTTGCCGTCAGGAATGCCCCTGCATGAGTTAGAACTGAAAAAAGGTGCAGTTATTATTATTGCGTAATCTTGGCGTCGTAAATGGTCTGTGCAATGGGACCCACTTAAAGTTGGAACATTAGGAAGGTTTGTTCTTGGTTGTCGATCATTTGCGGGGATCACAAAAATCAGTTGGCGATAATTCCAAGAATAGACAATTACTGGGACAGTCATATACCGTTTCGCTTAAGAAGGTGGCAATTTCCCCTTCGCGTTGCCTTTGCAATGACAATTAATGAATCTTAGGGGCAGTCATTCAATAGGAGTGTCTTCTTCCTGAGGATGTTTAGCCATGGGCAGTTATATGTTGCCTTCTCTCGGGTTCGAACACCCGCAGGCCTCAAAGTGAACACTTCCGTCAAAACAGTGAAAAATATTGTTTGCGAGGAGGTTCTACGTTAGAGCTTTAAATGTCAAACCAAGTAGATAAAAGGTACTGAGTAGACTCATCGTTTCTAGATAACTTATTAAAAGAATTTCAGTAGAACAAAAACAGAAGAGTCCTGCACGGATTGATTCAAAGATCTAGAGTCTTTTTGTACTAAAAATGAAGGTTTTCATCAAAAAGTAAAACTTGGCATTCCATATTTAAGTTTTAGTGCCTTCAATTATTGCATACACGAACTCTGTGGTATTTTCTTAAAGTAACAGCAGATGGAGGAAATGCGGGTTACAATAAAGCTTCTGTTACAACCTTTCGCTGTTTTCTTGAAACTACACGAAACTTTACCCGTTATTGATTTATTTAATGAACACTGATTGGCTGTGCTTCTTAAATCACCCTTAGAAAGAAAAACTTATTAAGATGCGCAAGACCATTTCAACGTTAACACTGACATTACCGCGGAGAGGCAAATAAAACCGTACGAATATTTGGTTGCACACAAAAGTTTGGGAGTCCGGCGTAAGCCGGACGATCAAGCTGATATATATATATATATATATATATATATATATGTATATATGTATGTATA